CTCTCTCTACTGCCTGTCTGTCTGTGACTCTCTCAATCTACTGCCTGTCTGTCTGTGACTCTCTCTCTCTACTGCCTGTCTGTCTGTGACTCAATTGTCACTTCAATTCAAGGTGCTTTTTTGGCACGCCTGATGAGTACAATCAGTGTTGCCAAAGCAAAACAAAAAATCTACAGACATTTACAATAAAGACACATCATAAAATATTTACATATAAACATATGGAGCATTATTGACTCTCTCACTCTCCTGCCTGTCTGTGACTCTGTACTTATCCCACTTTCTGTATCCAGTATCCAGACCGTACCATGGATGTTTAGAGAAGGGGGAGAAGAGATTTAAAGCAGCACAGGAGATACCAAGGCTGTAAAGGGGGGAGTAGTGTCGGAGGGCCAGGGGGGAGTAGGAAGGCATGCAGGATGTACCATGTCCAGGCTCGAGCAGGGGTGAGTGAGTGTGTGTAGGGGCTCGTGCAGGGGTGCGGTGGGTCAGGCTGTGAGTGCGGGCCGTACCATGTGCGGGCTGTAGCAGGTGGGTTTGTGCGGCGTGGGGGGTTGGCTAGGCAGGGGGGGTGTGGCGCTGGCAGGGTTGATGCGTTTCTCTTTCTGCCTCCGGTTGCAGAACCACACACGAATCACCTCCTTCTCCATGTGCAGCTGCTCCGCGATCAGCAGGATCTCCTCTGAGGTAGGCTTCTGGTTCTGCAGGGAGACACAGGGTCAGGGTTAATCAGTAATCAATACCGCCGCTATCGACAGATTACTGATCATCTGAGTTACTGATCAGCAGCATCTCCTCTGAGCTGGGCATCTGGTTCTGCAGGTGACACAGGGTCAATCAGTAATCAATACCGCCGCTATCGACAGATTACTGATCATCTGAGTTACTGACGGCAATAATCATTACTGTACTGAAATGCAACACGAATCAATAAGCTCATTCCAGTATAACCAGTATCTCAGAACAGGACTAACTCTGATCACTGCACAGGATTCTGTAGGGCCTAACAGGGACCTTGTACACGATCAGTCCATTGATGATATTGTATGGATCAGCATGGACTCACAGCAATAAAGCTGCGCTCTAAGGCCACGCGGACGTTGGTCTCGATGCTGGTGCGTTTCTTCCTGCGGCGTCCAGGCAGCCCCTCGAACAGCGGAGGGGAGGACAGCGCACTGGGGGAGGGGAGAGTGCTGTCCATTGACATGGTCTCTGCAGAGATGGACAAAGAGGTTTTTAAGGTTAATACAGACACTGACTGGACACTCCAGTACATTAACACTGCACTGAGAGAGAGAGGGGTTAATACACACACTGACTGGACACTCCAGTACATTAACACTGCA